TCCTGTAAGTTTTAGCATTTGTCAAAGTTCACCTCACTTGTGGTGCTTTGCTTCAGAATATTTGAGATGTACTGTGAGATATACATTCCTGGTAGATGTTTTCCCATTTTGAAGATATTCACGTGTTTTTTGTTTTTTGCTTTTTTTTTTTGGTACCGGGGATCGAACTTGGGACCTTGCGCTTGCGAGGCAGTCGGCGAAACCACTGAGCCAAATCCCTGGCCAATTCACATGTTTTTTAATGAGTATGAATTTTCTGGTGTCTAACATGATGTGACTTCTGACAGAAAGCTTTCCCACATTCACTACATTGATAAGGCTTCTTAACTGTTTGTATTCTCAAATGTAGGGCTAGGGTTGAGAAGTGTGAAAAACCTTTCCCACAGTCATTACAGCCATAGGGCTTCTCACCTGTATGGCTTCTCACATGCATAGTGAGAGATGAACTCTGAGAGAAAGCTTTTCCACATACGTTCATAAGGTTTATTACCTGAATGGATTCTCACATGCACAATAAGTGATGTTTGTTGAGAGAAGGCTTTTCCACATTCATTACATTCATAGGATTTCTCTCCAGTGTGAATATTTTAATGCTTTATGAGGAACTTCTTGCCAAAAGCTGTTCCACATTCATTACATTTAAAAGGTTTCTCTCCAATGTGAATTTTCTCACGCTCAGTAAGATTTGATTTACCCCTAAAGGTTTTCCCACACTGCTTACATATGAAGGACTTCTCTCCTGGGTGAGTTCTCTGGTGTCTGATGAGGTTTAACTTCTGAATGAAAGCTTCCCCACAATCTTTGGACTCAAAAGGTTTCTCTCCAGTGTTAATTTTCTGATGGGTAAGGCTTTCCTTCAGGCTCAAGGATTTTCCACGATCATTACATTAAAAAAAGCTTCTCTCTAGTATGGGTGTTCTGATGTTTAATGACATACTGCTTTAGGCTAAAGGCTTTCCTACATTCATTACATCAAAAGGATTTTTAAATTCAAAAGTATGAAAATGCTCATGTTCACTGAGATTGGATTGTGACTGAAAATTTTCCCACATACCTTACATGCAAAGGGGTTTCCCCCACTACAGTTTCTCTGCTGACTGAGGTGTGACCTCGGAATGGAAGTTTTCCCACATTCACAAGATTTCTCTCCAGTATGAATTTTTTGATGAATGAGAATTTACTTTTGGCTGAAGATATTTCCACATTTCTTACATTTATAAGGCTTCTCTGTGTATGACCTCTCGAATGCAGATAAGGGATAAAGTTTGAGAGAATTTTATCCTACGTAGCACATTCAAAGCTGTCTCTCCAGTATAATATTCTAATATTCAATGAGGTTATGCTATATTCACTTGTCTCCAGCATGAATTTTCTGTAGCTCCATGAGATCTTTCATCTAGCTAATGGCTTTTTAATATTCCTTAGAAGTACAGGGTGTCTCTTCAGCATGACTTGTCAGTTCAGTTAGACATTGCGTGTGAATAAACGTTTGCCCATATCCAATAAATTCATAGGGTTTTTCTCCAGTGGGGAATGCTCTGCTGTCAGACAGGGTGCAAAAGCATTTCTACACTGATTTGTGAGGGGCTTTTACCACAAGGAGTAAACTCTGGTGGAGGATTTTTCAAATTAATAAAATTGATGATTCTTTTCTACACAGCTTCCCTCATAATTAAGCCTAAATTGTCTTTTGAACAGAAAATTTCAAAAAGGTGTTAACCTAGGAGAAATAAGGTCTGTGAGAAAAGGAAGGATTTTTCTAATTTTCTTATAGCCACTGTTTTTTCCTCGGTCAGTATTTATTAGAGATGGATGCAACTTGCCTCCAAAGTCTTGATGGTTATCTGTGCATTGTCTTCTCAGGTTTATTCTAGACAGACTCTTTCTCCACCTTCCAAATTGTCTTCTTCAATAGAAGATCATATCTAATTTGGTCTCTTCAAAACCTGCTACTGGGGAAAATGACACAGCACTAGACTGTTACTGCTATGACCAGAGTACCATTCTAGAATTTAGGATGAGCCCTGGGACCCCTGAGCCTTCTGAAGGTTGAGGAAGGTGCATGTTCCAGAGATGCACAAGGAAGTGGCCCTCCCACTTTCGTGCCATGTGGACCAAGAGGCCTTACCAACCCACAGACAAAGACCAAAATGTCTGTACATGATATATCTTGATTCTTCTTTTTTTCCCCATTCCTCTTCCCTCCCTTCAACCCCCCTCCCCCCCTTATTTACAAAAGCTTTGTTTCCATTTTTTTCTTTTTTTCTCTTCCTCCCTCCCTCCCCCTCTCTAGTTCCTCTTCCCATTTGAACATTTTCTTCCTATTTTACAATATTTAGTGTACATTTTAGTCCTTATTTACCCTTTTGGTTTCTCACACCAGAGAAACCATATAATATTTGAACATGTGTGTTCAATTTATTTCACTTAGTATAGTCTCAAGGTGCATCCATTTAGCTAGAAACGTCTCAAGCTCATCCTTCTTTATGGCAGAGTAGTACTCCATTGTGTTAAAAAAATCTTTATCCATTCATCATTTGCTAGGCATTTGGGCTTTTTCCAAGATTTAGCTAATAAACTGTGCTGCTATAAACATGGCTGTACATATATCTCTGTGGTATGATGCTTTTCGTTCTTTTGGGAAGAGACCATGAAGGGCAATAGCTAGGTCAAATGGAACTAGAGTGAAACTAGGTCAAATGGAACTAGAACTGTTAGATTTGGTTTCTCAACAAAACCATGAAGTGGGCACTATTGTCATCAAGGTTCAGAGAGGTTAAACTTGCCTGGGATCGCATCACATAAATGTTGATTTGGAGATGAAGTAGGCTCTGTGTTTACAGCTCAGGTGTCAGTAGGTGAGTTTGAGTTGATATGTATGATCCATGCTGTTACTAGATAATGATTAAGACCCAGATTTTTTTCCCCCAGAGGGTCTCGCTGTGTAGTTCATGCTGGCCTAGAACTATTATGTAGCCCAATCCAGCCTGGAATTCACAGTGATCCTCCTGCCTCAGCCTCCCAAGTACTGGAATTACAGGCATGCACCACTACATCCAGCTCCAGAAAAATTCTTAGTGGTCATTATAGACTGAATGTTTTAATGTGATGTTAACCAGAAGTGACATAGGAATTTTTAGGCATTTTCCTGAATTTCATGAATGAGGTGAAAAAAAGTCACTTATGCTCCTCTCTGCAGGACATACGGGCTGGACAGGCACTGGTACAACTCACTTATTCCTGTTCTCTGGTTCCTTATTAAACAACAGAAGATACTGCTGTAGGTAGTTATGTAGATGTTTGTGTGTTAACTAAAAAATATTTTGTACACTTTCAACTATTCCAAACTTACAGAAAAACCAATAGAAAATAATATAGTAAATACTGTCAGTGGTCACCTAAGTTGTCAAGTCTTAGATCTTTCCCATTTTTATTTCAAGACTTCCCTACCCCCCAACCATCCCCAGGAGAGAGGTGGCTGTTGATTTTTGTTTTTAGTAACAAACATTGCAAATAAAGTTCATGTCACTGATATATACTTCTTTGATTCCATTCCCTACCTTCTTTCCTTAGCTGTTACTACTCTCATCAAACATGATTATTTTCACTAATTGATTCCATTGTATTTGTTTTTGCATTATTTCATCATCAACCTAATGAGGATAAATGACATTGTCTGTCTGTCTAATAATTACTGTGTTAAGAATAATCGATTTTTTCCTCATGCTGAAACTGAAAGCACAACATTTAAAAAATATTTTTGAGGGGGCCAGGGATTTAGCTCAGTGGTTCTGGTGCCTGCCTTGCAAGCGCAAGGTCCCGAGTTTGATCCCCGGTACCAAAAAAAAATATTTTTGAGCCCAACCTGGACTACTTAGTGACCTAACAAGATCCCGTCTCAAAATGAAAAAGTCTGGGGATTTAGCTCATCATGAAGCCTCTGGGTTCCAGCACCAGTACAGGGGGAAAAAATTGCTTTTATTATTTGGAGGAGCAAGAATTAGAGGCAAGCATTTGGAGTAGTAGAGGAAAAGTTGTAGAAGAAGTCAAAAGACAGGGACCTTTCTCTGGTTCGGCTTATTATAGTGATCTAGGGATTATATAGGGGAAATAGATATAACTCCCAATCTGTTAGATGTCCGATACGCCGAGTTCATGTTCTCCAAAGTCAAGGACTGAATTCTAGGAACAATGGAGGTTAATAATAGGAAATATTTACTGAGGGACAGACAACTCCTGCCTGAAAGGGATAGGAGGGGACCCAGAAAGTGGATTTCTGTGGACTCCACTTAGAAGGGAAGCTTTATAGAGGAAAATCAAGAGGTTGGTATGAAATCACAAGGTGGGTACAAGGTGGGACAAAACTATGATCAACCAATAAGGTTACAAGTACAGTCGCTTAGGTAATATTAATCTAATGGGGAAGCAAGTCACGTAGCAAGTGTACATAGAAAGAATAAGAACCTTTCCTGGAAGGGATGGGTCAGGATTGGTCGTCCCAGCAAGGTGAGTGATGCTTATTTAGAATATCAGTCATTATTGTTCATCCCTTGGGAAAGTAAGTAGGTGTAGTCATTTTATCTTTATCTTGAGGCCTGGCCTTCAACAAATGCACCTCCAGCCACAGTTGTAATGTGTTCTTATCTTCTGCACTGACTTCTTTGAGGGCCTAGCCCTGTCTGACCGCCTGTAATATTTCTAACTAACTTAGCTGTCTGTAATGTTAGTAGGATTTGATGGGAGACATTTAGCTTGCCAGACATCTATATATATCACAGAGAAAACAAAACTACAGTTATATATGAGGAAGCATTTTACAAAATGATTTTTTAAAAACTTTAAATAAATACAAGATGATTTCTAATTTTTTTGCCTTTAATTTTGAAAGCACATTACCTCCTGATAAAACTGTGTTGCTGTAGAGAACCCACAGTGAGTCGTTGTTTATACTACTAATCTTTGTAATAGCAGCTCTTTCCTATTTCAATGTTTATCTTTAGGGAGATAGCTGATTTTCAACTTTCTGTGGATTCCTTATTGGAAAACAGAAATGAACATTCAAGATCAGATAATCAAGTCCAAGCCAAGAGACTGGCAGAAAAGGTATTTGAACGCTGTAATCTTCATTTTATATTATAATAAGCTTAGCATTTTAAAGAACAAAGTGCTCTGCAGGCTATCTCAGCTACAGTAATGAGTTTAATAGTCTCCTAGTTCAAGGCATCTTTGAAAAAATCTTTTAAACCCATTTTACCCATGTACACACTATAAAGGTTACAGTAATTTTTCATATTAGTTGTAATATGAGCTGACATTGTTCAGTTTTTTGGTTACTTACAGGAGGACTGAAGTGTCAATTAAATTTACAGACTGAAGCTGGGTGGACTTTTGAATTTAGAACAAGATTGGTAAATTAGAGCAATGGCTTGCAGTTTTTAAATGAGTTTCTGATAACAATGTTAAAGTATGACGAGAAATTATTAGATGTAAATAGAATCATGATTACAGAGAATAAGTGGTTAGATAATTTAATAAGCTTTCTGTATTTTTTTATGTGTTTGGTATCTAAAAGAGGAATTATATGTAAAAAATGACCAAAATTGTTAGTGTATTACCCTCCAAAAAGGCAGATGTTGGACAAGTTTTTTTTGGTTTTCTTTTGTGTTTTCTTGTTTATTTTACTAATAAAGTTATTACATATGATACACAGTATCTACTGGGAAGTGCAGAATTAGAACAGTGAAAGTCACTATCATATAAAAAGATGTTTAAATAAAGAATGAGTATGATAAAGGAGCTTTGGTAGCTGAGTAGGTATTTTTCAATTTTTTTTTATTAGTACGTTTGTAATACATAGTGATTACATTTATCATGGGGAGTTTGTACATGTACGCACCACATCTTAATTCTCTTTTGTCCTCTTCCCCTCCTGTTCTTCCCTGTTTCCTCCAACTCTTGATCCTCTTCCTATTTGAAAAAGCTGTTTCTATTTGTTTCTTCAGTTCTCTGTTTAAATCCTTTTTTCCTGCCTTTCCTCCCACCTCCATCTCTTGTTCCCCTTCCCATTTGAAAACAATTTCCCTACTTCCTGTTATCTATCTTTATTTTGCTCTTTATGTTTTAGATTTCTCATAAAAGAGAAACCATGTAATAATTTAAACTTATGTGCCTGATTTATTTCACTTAACATTATGGTCTTGAGGTGCAAAATCACCTCAAATTTTTATCGAGAGGTACACTAGGGGTAGACTTAGTTCAATTAAAAAATTTAACCCCTTTCCTTCCATTTCTTGTAAGTTCTTAAAAATAAAGACTAGTGGCTCTTCAGTGATGACAGGTACCTCCGTAGGTTTATCGGGGAGTTTGAGCATCTGGCAAGTGAAGGAATGAAGGCATGTGCAGAGAAACAGCCTGTTTACATTCATTTAGTCCAAATGTTTAGCATAGGCCCTGACAGAACATCATGTCCTGTGGCTCTTGTGAAAGATGGGTGAAATAAAATGGTTATTGTGTGACAGGTGGAAAATTTGAGATGAAGGAAGAGAGGAAAGATTCTGAGTACAAAATGACATCCTAGTCAGGAAAAAAAGAAAATATTTTTACCTAAATAGAATGATGAGACTGAAGAAATTGGCTAAGAAAGGGGTCCAGCTGCAATGACTGAGAGATGACATGTATGTTCCCATTGTGAGTCAGTTTTATAGTATTAGAACTTTGTACTCATTAGACTCGTTATTTACCGTACCTATTTTACATTGTTTGTTATCTTTTCAGCTTAAATGCGATACAGTGGTGAGTGAAATCATCACTGGCCCAGGGACTATAAATTTCAAAATAAACAGAGAAGTATTAACAAAGGTAAGAGTGTGTTATTATCCAGCTATTGTGCTTTCACTCTTTCTGCTTTAGCGAGTTTGATTGTCCTCTAACTGAAATTCATAATCCCTCCTCTTGCTTCACAACATTTACACATACTGATCCCCTGCCTAGAGTGTACTCTTAAGTTAACAATTACTTACCCTTCAGCTCTTGATATTTTCTTGGCAATAGTTTTTTGATCTTTTCATTTATATTCTCTCACAGCACTGTTTATCTCTCCTTTACAGAACTTGTTGTAGTTGCTATTCTATATTCCTTCTATTTTGTTAATGTCACTTGCCCTTTAAACCCCATTTCCCATTAGGGTTATAACATCTGTTTTTCTCACTGTTGGATAACTAGATAATTATTTGTTGAATGAATAAGTGGATTGTGAATTGAATACAAGAAAAGCATATTGGCTTCTACTTCCTCGTAGCCTACAGTCTGTTGGAAGCATACAATTTATACAGAAAAACCCAAAAAACAGCCTTTCTTTTAACAAAACAATAAATATCAGAACAAAAAAGTGGTTGATACAGTAAGCCTAAGAAAGTTCAGAGACAGAGAAATCAGAAGACCTAGAGCAGTGATGGTGAACTTTTTAGAGACAAGCGCCCAGACTGCAACCCCAAACCCACTTATTTATCACAAACTGCCAACACTGCAATTAAACCTGAATACTGAGGTTTTCATTTAGAAAAAGCAACTCATACATTAACATTGTTTGTCTTGAAATAAAAACAAATAGCACATGTGCCATAGGTTCGCCATCACTGCCCTATAGAGTTGGAGAAGTCTTACAGATGAATGGCTGCAGTAAGACCTTGGAGAACAGATAATCCTGGATAGCTAGTAGTATGAGACCTTTAGATGAATTTCATTTGTATTGCATTTTAAAATTTATTGTAATGCATTCCGCCGCCTGCCTTGCAAGCAGAAGGTCCCAAGTTCCATCTCCGGTACCAAAAAAAAAAATTTATTGTAATGCATACTTTGGACTGTTATTTTATAAAGAAATATAACTCAGGACGATACAATTAAGTGAAATAAATAGGACACACATGTATAAATACCAAATAGTTTCTCTGGTGTGAGAAACTGAAAGTGTAAATAAGGACTAAATGTATAATAGGTCATGTGAAATAGGAAGAAAAGGGGCAAAGGGGAAGGAAGTGGGAGGGCTAGGGGAAAGGATAGAAGGGAATGGGATTAATATGAGAAAATGGAAAAATAGGAACAAAATCTTTGTAAATAGGGATGGAGGGATTGAAGGGAGGGCTGGGCAAGGGTGAAAAATAAGAACCAAGAGAGACTATGTAAAGGTGCAAATTTCCAATGATGAATGTCATTGTATTGTATACCTAAAATGTACCAAAGATTAGAATGAATAATCGATAATGTAAAATAGGAAGAAAAGGTCCAAAGGGGTAGGGGTAGTGGGAGGGGCAGGGGAAAGGAAAGAAGTGAAAGGAAAAATGCTGAGAAATGGAAAAAATGGAAATAAAATCTTTGTAAATAGGGAAGGGTGGAGGGGGTGAAGGGAGGGCTAGGAATGGGGAAAACATAAGAACCAAGATGCATTATGTAAAGGTACAATTCCCAGTGAGAAATGTAATTGTGTTGTATACCTACAATGTACCAATAAAAGAATTTAATAAAAAAAAAAAAAAAAAAAAGGAAAGAAATGTAACTCAGGGCCGAGGATTTAGCTCAGTGGTTTCTCCACCTGCCTCGCAAGCCAAGGACCCAAGTTTGATCCCCGGTACCAAAAAAACAAAACAAAAAACAAACAAAAAAAACCAAAAAGAAAAAAAATATAACTCAGTATTGTCTCAGACAGCAAATGTTACAGTCTTGGGTTGAAAATAGCTATAAAACCAAAATTTCTAATAATGTAGTATCATTCGAAGGTTATATAATTCATAGTATCTACAACATGCTATAAGTTTTTTTCTTTTTCTTTTCTATCTTTCCCTCTTTTTTTGAAACAGTCTATATAGTCTGGGCTAACCTTGAACTCACTATGTAGCCCAGGCTAGCCTTGAACTTGGCAATCTTCCTGACTCAGCCTCTCAAGTGCTGGAATTACAGGCCTGTGCCAGCACCCATGGCTTATTTTCTCAGTTTTATGGAAGTAGAAATGCAGCTTGTCAAAATGTGCCTTCCAAAGGTGAGGTCACTTGAACAATATTTTCCCTAAGAAAGGAAAATATCTTATTGTAGATGGAGTTTTGCCTTTAAGCTTATCTGAAAGATAAAATTTATATTTTGAGGTAAAGCATATATTTACATAATGTAACATTTCAATGGCAATGAATTTTTATCTTTATTACAATTAACAAATTACAGAATTGTCTCTGCTATAAGGGTAGCTGCTATTCACTTATTAAAATGTTTCTAAATCCTCCTCAGTAAACAGCGAAGAGCCAAGAATTAAGACTTTGAAGTTTAGCTGCTTGTTCTCTCGTGGAAATTCTCCTTTTATTGCAGCTATTAAAATCTGAATTTTAGTGTGATTTACATTAAAGGATCAAGTGGGTTGCTTACAGTAGCCCTGCTTAGTGTCACAGTGAAGATACATCCTAGAGTAGTGACACCCACATTCTGAAAAAGAAGTGTTAAGTGTACCTATGCTACATCTTATAATTTTATTGCTGTGTATTATAATTTTAGCAACAATTTCTTCTGCATTGTTTGATTAATTTCAAGCTTTAGTGGTCATTTGCATGTCAAATGAATTTTTCAAATCGTATCAAGAAAAAAATTCAGCCCTTCTTAGGACCAACAACAAATTAATCGTTTTCTGCTTGAGGAGTAACTATAGTGGCATTGTGAAGAACTATCACTTTGGTACCAAGCTTCCACCTGTTGGTAGCTTGCAGGTGACTTTTCAGAAAAACTACAACTTTGATTAATATTCTTTTAGTTAAGAGGAAGAAAAGAAAATATAGTTTTAATTAAATAGAAATAATGCATACAAAACCCTATTTTCTTAGGTATATCTTACAATTACCCTGCATGATGTCTAGCATCATTATATTTCATACACATTTTTTATTTGATAAGATCGCTTTTGTATGCTCTCCCAAAAAGGGGGAAAACAGAAAGAGATACTAACTTAAATCACTCCATTTTTCTCATTCATGAGTTGAGTTTTTGCTCGTAGGCATCTATAGGCAGTGGATGCATTCAAGTCATAGGTTGTTTCTGTGAATGCATGGAAAGAATGAGTGGTCTTAAACACAGCTGTTGACCAAAGAAATGACAGTGCAAGTAAGCAGCAATAGCTCCCTTAAAAGTCCTGGTAGGAGCCATAGGAAAATAATCAACTAGCAAAGTTTGATGAAATGACAGAAATCATCCATTTAAAAAGATGATGGTGATAGAGAAAGTACTGATGAATTGGAGTATTCATTAATTTGCTAAAGCATTCTAAAAGCATTCTTTTGAAAGATTTCATTTCTGATTAAAACCCTTTCTGTATCAGTATATTATCAGTACATTACTGACTACAGCTTGCATTTAAACATACATATTGATTAATAGGTGAGCTTCTAGCTTATTCATCTATTGGACTATCAGGCGACTTAACTAGCATGCTGACATTTTGTAGTTAAAAGCTTTGATTTCTGTACCCACTAATCTGCTGATTATTTAGTAGGGATTATATTTTAGTGTTTGTGCTGCCAAAGCGAGCTCTGGTAGGGATTATATTACTGAGATCGAAAGATTAAATGGTGTGGATCCTGGCCTCAAGGAATTTATAAGCAAATAAAAGCATAAAAAATCATAGTGTAAAATGCAATGAGTATGACAGTGTGATGAATATTATAATTGTATTATGTGTAGGATACAATCCTAGTGTAAAGAAAGATATATATAAGTCTATCCTGAGGAGAGGGGACATGACTTTGAATTGGGATGAGGAGAAGAATATACTTGGGAGACCCAAGAGCAGGCATTCTAGACAGAGGGAAGAGCTTGGCCTATAGTCAATGGAGAACATGGCATTGTCTCGTGATTAGCAGATGGCCAGGCATAGGTTTGCACACAGGATGGCATGGTGGGAGGGTATGAAATTAGGCAATTTGAAGGGCCTTATATTCTCTACATAGGAGTTTCAGCTTTTTCTTACAAATTCTTATTTTCCATGTTTTATGCACATGTAAAATTATATTTATATAAATTATATAAGTGTATGATTATATATTATATAACTATCATACATATAAAAATTTTATATGTATAAATTATACAAATATATTTATATACATATATAAATTATGTATGCATATAACATATATATGTAATGTTTATATATGTATATAAGTATAGTTTTACATATGTATAAAACATGGAAAATTATATTTATATAAATTATATGAGTATAT